TTTAATATTCTACTTTGTAGTTCATTAATCATTTTCTCTTTTCTGCCTGTTTGATAACAGCCAAATTCTGTTGTGAATGAGTTTTGTAACACAAGAATATCCCCCAAAATTATTTGTTATAAAATTTTAATGAATTTTTAATAAATGTCAAGTAAAATTCATAATAATTGCATTAAAACTGCCTTTCAGTTGGCCCAAATTTGGGCCTACACTAAAGTCACACTGTCTCTAGAAAACAAATATTTTGAGAAGGCAATGATCAGATGATCAAGTGTTCATGTTAAAAGAAACAAAGCAGACAAACCTCCCACCCTGATCTGAAGGGTTCTGTTCATCAGCTGAGGGAATAGAAAACTCACATTTGATGCACGTACACAACTAAACCAAACCAGCCAGCTGTTTTTAAATATTCTATGCACAAGAATTATTTGATGAATAGTTTCAAATACCAAATATTTGACAATAGCGATTTGCTTAGTGACATTTCACGAACAGAAAAGGAGGCAAATTGCCTTGAATAAATTACTTGTTAAAATTATTTACTTGACCTTATTCTTTACTGAGCAGGGTAGGCTATATCCTACTAAGATGCATTCAATTCATGGAGACTTAATGTTAGTATCACTGAAATAACTTTCTAAAATGAAATCAGGACAACCCTCAATAATTTCCTTGCTTCAGAGTATGAACCAATCATTGCAAAGGGCACGAAGTAAGGAATCCACCTAGCCTCCTTGGCCATACATACCATTGTTCTGCTGAATGACTTTATTAATGGAAGACAAAAGGCATCTACATGAGATATTACATGGCTGTAGCAATGAGCTATGGTAATGTAGCTCATCGCTACAGCCACAAAGCATCAGTGGGCACGAACTGTGATGCTGATGCTATGTTACTGTAGTAACTAGCTACATTGCTGTAACTTGTCACTATGGCGATGTAGCATCTAAAAATAACTGTGCACCTCCAGGACTGTGCAGTACCAGCAGGTAAAGCAAGTACTAAATGAGTGTGCAGTACCAAATGCGCAGTCAGGGCCATGTGTAGACATGCCCAGTGGCTCTTTCTTTTGAAACCTTAAGATATTGGTCACTATTGGAAACAGGACAGACAGTGTGTTTGGTACTCTTGATAGATGGCTATGCTCATTCAATATAGTACATTCTGCTATATATTCCTGTGCTTTCAAGAGGAATTTGGAGGATCTAACTGTTACAGAACTCAGAGAAACTCTATACTCCAACTAGAACTCTCTCATTTAAGCTTACATTGGGATTGCCTTCTTTCTTTGCAGTAAATCACAAACTCAGATAGGATGTTGGAATGCTGCTGGTATAGATAAAGTGTAAAGCTTGAAGAAGATTCTGTAGCTATTCCTTTTGTAGCTTCCAGTTTGTTTCTGCTGTTAGATCCAGTATCAATATATTTAGCCACCACTAGAACTGATTAAAAAGTTGCCATTTAAAGTTTTTGTTTTGTTTTGGAGAGTGCTGATTGAACCAAATCAAAAGGTTCCATGAGACATTCTGTTTAATCTTTTAATGGCACCCATGGTTGCTGGATGCATGAATGGTCCATCTGCCCGCCAGCCTGCCTAGCTCCAAATATTCCTTGTTACATGGCAGCTAACCGTATAGATTCCCTAGGCTTCCTTTGTCTCTGGGCTTCATGGCTCCCCAATTCTCCGCATTCTGCTTAGGTTGGCAGACTTCAAAGATTGCACAGCTCCCCAGCATTCTACCTGGTATGTTCCTGGAGCTGCCCAGTACCCTGAATTGTCTGCCTGCTGAGGTGGGCTCAATAGATCCCCAGCTTCTATGGTTGCATAGGTACTTCACCAACCCAAGAATTTTTTTAAAAATGCTGTTTTTTGTTTTAGAAACACATTTTTAAAATCTGTCTGCAGAAAATGTTGTGTTTTTTATTTTTTAATTCAGAAATAAATAATTTTGATAACAGCAGATGTTCCATGGGGTGAACTTTGTGGCCCTGGTACAACTACTACTAGTTATGAGTTTGACATGCTTTGGTTATGTCTACATGATTTCTTTGGCCTGGGGAGGGTGCTCTCAAAGTGCCCCCCTGGCAGTGATTGCTGCCCACACAGGACAAATATGGAAATGAGATAGTGAAACCATTCTGGTGTGCTCCTTGCTGGTACCACTCTTAGGTCACAGTGAACTGTCTTAACAATATGTTCAAGATAACCATTCTAATTACTTAGTGTGCTATGTTTTTCATTCTGTGACCAAAATGAACTATTTGCATATTATTTCACAAAGTAAAAAGCATGCTGTTTCTCTGGTAGTACTTTTATAAGTAACTTGTTTGTTGTCACTCATTAATATGCTTTTCAGTGTTTTGCCTCTCAATGTTGATGAGTTGTTCTTCTTGTGCTCTACACAGAATAAAATTGATGATTTATAGAAGCAAACAAAATTAATGAGAGCATAGAAACCTTGTAAATTGAACATTTTGTGTGAATATAGTCTTTTGCAAAATGGCATGTTTTCTGGAGAAGGATAAAAGGTGAACAAAACCATTGCAGGTGATTCTCAGCTTGGAACACCTGTGCAGTTGTTTGTATAATTAATTTTCCAACTTACCCATATTTTTAAAGTAAGCCACTATTAGGAATAACGAACTTGTCCGCTCTGCCACCTGCAATGAGAGCTTTGCTGATACCAACCAAATCGTAATCTGAAGGAGCTCCTAAAACATCCGTTCTTATCCTGTTACAGAAGAAAAATCACTCTACATATAGCTTCCATATGGGAGTTTTCAGTAGAGCAGTGATAGAGATTTTGGGGGCTAGTACCGAAAGCTGATTTTTAAGGAGGCATATCAGCCGATACCAATCCAATTTCTGATACAGCTGATAAGTCTGTTGTGGTGAAAGGGGAGGGGAGTGGGAAGGGGTGTAGGGGGGGCAGATCAGCACCCCCCCCATGGTGTGGGAGGAGTCAGATAGGGGCTGGGACAAGCACTGCCCAGCAGGGGTGGGATGGGCATGGGACAGAGCCACAGCTTGTCCGAGAGGCATGACAGGAGGTGTTTGCCCCCAGATCTGCACAGGGCAGGGAAGAGCAGGCTGTAGCTGTGGGCTGGGGGCCATGCTATACTCAGGGTCTGTGGCAGTGGTGCTGGGAAGGAGGGAGTATGGGGGCAGGGCTACAGCCACACCAAATTTTGCCATAGCCCCACATAGCTCCCTCTCAGAGCCTCTGCCTCTCACACCGAGCACAGCATGGCCCCCAGCCTGCAGCTGCAGCATGGTCAGCTCACCCTGCACAGATAGAGTTCCAGGAGCACATGCCTCCCCCCCGCCGCCCCGTGCCCTCCCAGATGAACAGCAGGATCTGCCAGACAAGTGAATGAGTGCCAGACAAGCAGCAGCTGCTCCTCCCACTTCCTGCTCCACCCCTCCCTCTGCTCCCAGACAAGTGGCACCTCTGTCCTGTGCTTGCACCTGCCCTGTCCTGGCTGGGCAGTGCCTGTCCCAGCCCCACTCCCTCCCTCACTGTGGGGGTTGTTGATCTGGCCCCTCATACCTCTTTCCTCCCCCCTCCCCGTCTACCACAACACACTTACCAGCTGCACACAGCTCTCCAAGCTGCCAGGTTGTGTGCCTCACTACCTGCGTGCTGCACGTATACACTGGCATTTATTGGCCAAATTATTGGCCACTTCAGGCCAATTTCCGATGGTCAATTTTCTTTATATCTGTGCCTATCTGATATCAGGCCAATGTATCAGTGCACCTCTAATTTTCAGCTGTTTTCAAAATATGATTACCTAAAGTGGTATTTCATGGTTAAGTTCAGAAAGAGGTTTCCTCAAGACAATAGAGAAAAGGCTAGGTCAGTAAGGCAGGCATATTCCTCCAAGGAGCCCTTGAAGTAAGATTCATAAATAAACTGTCAAAAGTTGTCTTTTGATAGCACTATGAAAAAATTGTATCAAAATAAATCTGGAAAATTTAGAGCACAGTCAAAAAAGACCATGTAAGGGATGGGGGGGTGGAGCCTCTTAGCCCTGTGGATCCCTAACAACTTGTGGGCTCAAGTCTTGGTGGGGCCAGGCTGGATCCATGCAGCAGAGAACCTCTGTTTCCCCTCCCTGGCCCCGAGTTCCCAGCACAGTGAAAAGCTGGCAGGGTAGGCCCATGCTGGAACTTCTGTCTGCAGCTGTCAAGAGGCTGGGGTGAGGTAGGAAGGGAACCCCCTGCCATGTGGACCTGGCTCAGCCTCCCCCACCCAGAGAACCCAGCCAGCAAGCTGTGGGGGACCCCAGTCCCCAACCCCCCTTTTCTCCTCAGCCTCTGCTGATAGTTGCTAGCTGGCAAGGTAGGGGCCAGGGTTGGCTTCAGCAGCCTCCTGGAAGGCATGCCGGAGTGTCCCATCTGCTTGCCTTGGCCAGTGCAGGCAGGCATTGAGTCCCTCTCCCCCTCCCCCCAACCAAATGGTGAATGTCTGTTTGGTTTTTTCCTGCTCTAACTTATATCACCTTAAGTACAGTGTATGAGCACTTTCACCAGGGGTTTTTTGAATGCCTGTAGTTAGCCCTAGTGAAGAAATGGACATGAAAAGATGATTTCTTTTCTTGCTGAAAACAACAAGATAGACACTTTCCATGTATGTCTGGTCCCAGCAACATCCTCTGTTCTCCTTTCAGTCCCATATGTGTCTTATGGGAGCTCTTTTGCCCAGAATATACACTGGCATCAGAACGCATTTTTTTTATATATGCTGACATAGCATGAAACATTATGCTGCCTTTCCTTTGGGGTTGAAAGTCCAGTTTCTGCATTACCTTTAAGCTCTGTCAAAGGAATTATTCTTTGTTTATGCTGGTGTAAAGGAGAGCAGAATTTATTCCAGCTTCTTGTATTGTAAAGTTGTTCTTCTATAAGCAGTGTGGTGCTTAGATTGCATTTTAATGTCAAATTTTCATGTGACTATAAATACTTCCTTTCTTTCTGTCTCTTTAAAATCTAGGACACAAAAATAGCTTCACTTGAGCGCAATATAAGGGATCTCGAAGATGAAATACAGATGTTAAAGACAAATGGAGTTCTGAACACAGAGGACCGTGAGGAAGAGATCAAACAAATAGAGGTTTACAAGAGTCACTCAAAGTTCATGAAAAATAAGGTACTGTCAAATAATAAATAGTTTAGTGGCATTAAAATTATGTGAACAGCAGTTTTAATTGGCCTCTTTTCAACTTAAGTAATTCTCTGAAAGTTTGTTATAAGTAAAACTATAACAAGCAATTTTGAAAGGATTTGCTTCAGGACATTTCTTCTTTATAAATAAAGGCATTTTAAGTACTGATTCAGGAAAGGTAGGGAGGAGTCAAATTCACTACATGTCCTCAGCAAACACAAATTGATTAATAGACAACATTTTTTTAATGTTTTCAACTATGTTCCCTTATGAGTTTGTCTAACCTGTTTCATAGTTTGTCTTTTTATTTTCCTTCTTTCTGTCCTCTGTGGCCCAGCTTATCCTTTTTTTTAGGGTTCAAAGAGCATTTATAGATGTACACCCCGAGGCAGGGGAGGGGGAGGTACTTTGTTTAGAATGACTCCGAGAGCTGCTCTAATTCAAGCACTTGGAGTGTCACTTGTATCAGTGTCTCCGCACTGAAAAATGGTGGTGGGGGTGTTTTAACTAAAGCTCGTTGGATGAGCTTTTAGTTAAAGCACCCCTGCCACCATTTTTCAGTGTGGGATGCTCTGATACACGTGATATGAGTCTGCTGGTGCATGGTAATTACCATGCACCAGCAGACTCAGTTAATCAAGGCTGCTCCGATGCATTGTAATTACGGTGCTTTGGAGCAGCCTCGTGTACATGTACAGGTGCATAAAGAATGCTAAATGGTTTTCCATTCTGACCTGTGGTGTTTTCAGAACAATTTGTAACTTAAGTTTCTCAAGACCGTACTATTATGACTGGCACCAATAACATAACCAGGGCTGGGGAAAAGAACCATGTGCCCCAAGTGTCAATTTAGAGGAGATACCAGCAGCATCCTCAGCACGTCTGGTCCCCCTCTTCAGCACACAACAACATCTCTGCCCAGGGTACCAAAACTGCTAGTTATGCCTCTGGTTAGTACCCCTGCAAGCTGTCATTTCCACTGTGACTTGTACACTAATTCACTATTTTTTAAAAGCTTGTCTTTTTGTGGTTTGCACTGACATTGCTTTTCAGCTGAGGATCTCAAATATTTTATAGGTTGGTAGATACTATTACCCTCAGTTTCTAGATAAAGTGGTCAGATGAATTGGCCAGGATCATAAAGAAAGTTTAGTCACAAAGTTAAGAATACAATCCTATGTCAAGCTATTAGACTCACTGGACAATACTGTTTCTTAATTTTAAAATTTATCAGACTCAAATTGTGATCCCAGCTTACTTTTTACGTCATTTAATTTATATTTGTGCAGGTGCTCTGCAAGTAAAGTGTATGCCAAACTTAGTTGGGGGGGTTGTTACTTTAAGATTAGTTTTCTGATTTTTCATTTTTTTGTAAACTGTCTGAAAATTTTAAAGTAGTTTTTAAAAGCTGCAGTCTATTGTTGGTAATATCCAGTGTACCTGTTCTGATTTTTCCCCTGTATTTCTACAGTAGCAACGTATAAAATGGCTTTCTGTAATATAGGGGTAGGTCAGCCAAATTTTTTGAAGTGGAAAAACTGGGGGACAGATAATTGAGGATGGGGGGATTAGACATATATAGGGATCACTTTGGGGCGCACAAGGAGGAAGACATTTTATTATAAGATCCTTTAAGATGCGAAGGAACATGCAATGACTGTAGCGTTAGGGACGCTGAAGAGAAAGGCCAGCCATTTGGCCTTCTGTAAGGAAGAGGAGACTGTCATAATGCTAGAGTACATGTAGGTAAAAAATTCTATAATAATTGTGATCACTGGAAAGATTTACATGCATTTTTAGTTTGCTTGATTTCTATTTTTCTCCTTCCTACTCAAAATTTAATTTTTGTGAAATTCTGTAGGACTAATTGTTGTTAGCTGAATTAAAAATTAGAAAAGCTATTTTTATGTTGAAATTTATATATATGGACTTGGAAAATTACTGCCCAAGGAGATGCTGCTGCTGCTACTTTGCTAGAACCTGTATGGCTGAAGGAATGAACACATGGGTAGGCATGCTTCAGGCTGTTTAAAGTTGCAGTACTCCAGGGCAGGTTTATCTCTGAATTGTGTTACCCAGTTCATGTTCCATTAATGTGTGGCCACTCACCACAGATGAGCCACTCAAATTGCAGTCCTCCAGCATCCCAGAATGCAGTGTCCCCTCCCCCATCCCCCTGTTCTTTCCAGACCCTGAACTCTATTGCCCAGGAGGTGGTTTTGGCACCAAGCCAACTCATCTTCTTCCCCCCAGGAGTGTGATCTTCCCATCCCCAGGGGTGCAACCCTATGCAAATAGCCTGCAGAGCATGTCAGCTGGCCAGGTCACAAAGCACGGACAGGTCCCGGAGTGCAGTGTAGAAAGGATGGAAGGGGAGCAAGGGAGGGGGCCAGATCGGTTATCCATGAGTTTGTTCTTCCTTCCTGAGGCAAGTGTTTTTCCTCACTTCTCCCTCTTTCCAGCTACCCTGGGAAGTACAACCAGCACCCCCTATGCCCCAATCCCAATCCCTTGTAAAGGCAACTCACAGCTGTAGCTCCTACTCAGGCCCAAGATCACCAGCCCTCTGGTGGCAGGTCACAGCTATGCAGGTGGGGGGCAGTCAGAAAAGGGTTTTAGCCTTAAGGTGTGACTGCTCCAAACTCAAACCAGTCAACATTTGAGCAGCTGAAAGTGCAATGTGTAACAAGGCCCTTTGTGTGAGTTTGAGTTTGGAGCAGTCATACAATTAGGTCAGTAGGGGCCTGAAGGACTAAAAGATAAAAAGCCTGCCTGCCTACACTCCATTGCCATTGCTGTTGAGCTGCTGCTCTTATGTAGGCCATGCCTGGCTCAGTTATGTTGAACCCAGTTAACCCTTGCCTGCCTGCTCCCCTGGAAGTAAATAGTGGGGAGGGAGCAGTGAGTGGGGGTCTGGGGTGCTAGGGAGGGTAGGAAGGAGGGCAGTGGGTCTGGTTTGGTTAGGATGGTGGGAGGTAGGCAAGGTGTTTACACTAAGGTGTAACCTAGAGTAGCTACACCTTCATGTAAAACAGGCTGGGTAACCTGGATTAGGGATAATCCTGCCCTGGAGTGCCATAACTCTGAGTTGCCTAACACGTGCTTAAAACTAATTTCAGCAGTTAATGTGTGGACAATCCAAGGGTTAAGAGCTCCAGGAACCACCCAAATTACTGTGTAACAAGGACCTTAGATAAGTTACAATTGAAGACTGAGTCTTCCCATGTGTAAAATGGGGGTATAGATAATTACATGGTACTAAATGATTAGGATTTGAAGCCTCAGAAGGAAACTACTACAGTACCTTAGTTTTAAAAAGTGTGGGCTATCCTGGGATAAATGACAGCATATTTCATTTTCTTGTGGCATCCTGGCACATTTTTGCTATTATATTGGATTCTTCCCATGAGAGAAAGGAAAGCTTGAGGCCTTTTCAGAAGCTTAAGTTATGTTTTAAAAACAGCTATCTCTCTGGCGTTTTTGTGCTCAAAACTCTCTTTTAAGCCCCCTAAATGGAGTTATTGTTACTATGACTACAGTATATCTTTAAATGGGGATAACCTGCAGATGTGTAGTTTTCAGTGACCTCCAATATAACTTCAAAAGTGTGTCATTAAATATACAGAATCTTTTAAAGTACAAATAATGTACGAAGCCTAGTATGTAAAAGGGGAAGCTTTAATGATTTTGAAGAGGAAAAGGTTCACTATATTTCTGTGATCTGAGGAGCAGATGAATGAGAGGAAGATTACTGTACATACCATTGTTTTGTCACAACCTTTTGATCAGTGCTTTGATAAGTGTGTCACATTCTGATGAAATCCTGTACAACTTCTTTCACCAGTCCTGTCCTTCCTCTTACAATTGAGATTTGCAGCAAAGATACTAGATCTGCCATTCATCACAGAACCTTTCAAGGTGGAAAATATATTTATATGGCTGTCAGCAAGCAGATCTTATTATACTCGATCTGTTGAACCCGAGATCAGTGATAAGGAATTCTGATAAATATAACTCCTGATTGATGCCAAACAGTAGAACAAGGCTCTTTTCATGATTAACAACTGTAAGTGCTATAATGCTCTTTAAAATATTTTTACTTAAAGAATTAATATTTTTTGTTTAGTTCCTTCTTAATTTGAATAAAAATGGAAGGTGTACCAGCTGTACAGAAGCCATTAACGAACATTGCTTTATTGCATTTGAAAAGCAGAATGCATCAAAATGTTTTCCTGTTACACAGAATGTAACACATTTATAATAGGCATACTCCTTTAAACTCCCTCATCTGATAGCCCTTTGTTACTGTATTAACAAAGAGGAGAAAAATTGTAGGAACTGATAGGAAAAAGAAGCTGTAGGTTATTTCCCCTTGCAAGAACAGATTTGTTTCTGTTGTCTCTAGTAATGGGCCAGCATTAACAAAACTTAGTGCAGATGCCACCATTCAGTAAATAAAGAGATAATCAAAACAGAAATTAAAAGTAATTTCTGATGTCTAAGGTGGCAAACATTTTTGGATGCCTACTTTAAGTATCTACAGAAAATAGAGATGACAATATTTGTTCTTTAAATCATTTCTGCTTTATGGAACAATTTTCTGCTTAGTGGGGTTATATTTTAGCTAAGAAAAAGGTTTTTATTCAGTGATACCATATGAGAAAAATTGGCTGGTTGGACTAAAATGTAATTAGCTCATTTTAATGCTGTCAGACTAGCTTTAGGAACTAATATGAAACTCCAGTGACAGCGTAATACAGCTTAATTTAAAATCTGTTTCAAGAAATAATGAATCAGTTTTGGAGACTAGTTTCTATCAATTACAGAAAGTCATGCTGTGGAAACACTGTATGATGAATAACTTAAAACTTTAAGGCAGAAGGCCAATCATGGACTGAGGAAAAATTAAGATTTTTAGGTAAATTATGTTTAAGATGAGCTTACAAGGCAGTTGCAAGTAAAAGAAATATAGGAACTACAGGAGGAAGAGAACTGTAAGGAAGCCTGTCACAGTTACTAGTGGCTCCTGAAGAGAAGATTTTTATACTACCAGTGACAGGGTTGTGATAAGGATGGAAAGGTAAGTGTTAGGTTAGTCTGAGGGCTCAAGAGACTATAGCAAGTCCATGGAGAGATCCAGAAGCAAAGTAAGCTTTGTTAATCTGTGCTTTGAAAAAACATTGGCTGGGAAACAATAGGAATTAAAGATAGAGTTGGGTTTAGGTCTTAAATAAGGTTACATTCCTTATCTTAATTCTACCACTATTATTTTTACTTGTCCTGTGGGATCTTATCCTCAGCTGGTATAATTCAGCATAGTTCCATTTGGAACTTATTTGGAGTAACATAGCTGAAAAACTGGCACATTATGTTTTAAAACATAATGCATACAGTCTGGAGGGCAAAGGCCGTGTCTCTCTCTCATTTAGTAGAAAGGTACATACTTTTTGGTGCTGAGGCAAAAACTGCATATAGAAGATGGAAGGTAATAGCTTTTTGCAGGTTCTAATATCTGAGAAGTTAGACCTTATAGAGGTGACAGAAGAGTGAGTTATAGTGTAAACTGAGGGAAGGCAGACCCATGGATAAGGGTTAGGATTTCAGCAAAGGTAGAGATGATGTTGGAGCATATTAGGCAATGGTAAAGAGGTGGTGACAGGCAAATTGCACATGAGATACATGAGAGAATAAGCAGGTCAGGATGAGGGACAAACCTAGAGGTCCTTGGATATCATCAGGTATATCCAGGTTATCTTTATTTTAATCTTTCTAATGCATAGCAAGGTTGTGGTCACTATTTTATTTTTTGACATTGACAGAGACGTACATGTTCTTGTTGGAGCAGGGCTACTACTTCTATTCAGTTTGACCTTTAGTGGAATGAATATGCAAACACTTCAGCTAGGACTCAGAAAATTATTTAAAGTGCTTATTTTTTAAGGATAACAATACTGCACAAGAATCTTTTATCAACAAGCTTATGTAAAAAATGTTTCTTCAGATGATTATGTGATGCCGCTTTCTGTGTTGGACATGCTTGTTTCCCTGTCTGTTTCCCTTTCTTGCTTTGCTTTGGTAGAGACCTCAATCTTTCAACTTTCTTTTTTTAATAAAGAGTTTTCCAAAGACACAGTTATCTTAACTCAAGTCTTTTCCTTTTCATTTGAGAACTATAACATATTTTCTTAAACTCCTGACAGTTTGCAAATCTCCTAACCAGAACAACATGCTAATGAGTAGACAGTTTCTGAGACACAAGGAACATGTCTATGATGAAAATGAAGTAATATTCCTTGGCTGATTATTTCTAAGGGCGTTGGTTGTGTCATGTACAAAACTGGGAAGAGGTTCCAGTAGAAATTAGGTGTGCGTGATGTCCACATGGGTCTCATAGAAAGCATATGATGTAATTCAGATTGGCCTCTGACCTAGTTTTCCTCTTATATATCCCACAGACAGACTTTCCCACCTTTATTTTGCATACATTTTTGTCTCTGTTACTATATCTGCTTACATGTTCTGTCAAAGGAAGTAAATAGGAAGGAAGGAAGAAGGTGATTTTCCTTCAAGCTCGACTCTTTAATGTTTTTCTTAAGCAATGCCTGCCTTTAGCGCAGCTTTAATTTTTTATTTTAACTTTCCTGACATCATCTTTTTATTGTAATCATTTTTTTTTCTTTTGATAAATTCAGACTATGAAGGTGATTGCTTTCATTTTCTCTGTCAGTTAGGATTTTATGTGATAGGCAAAGGGTGCCTAGTCAATTTCTCCAACCAATTAGACAAACATATTGAAACTTGTGGAGAGAAGAAGGGTATATATGTGTTAAGGTGTATATGTATAGTCTGTAGTCTGAAGAATTGCCTTTTGGATTTCATTTTAAAGAAATCACTTTCATATGTCAAACAAACAATGTGTGATCAGAAACAAATATTTCCACCAAACTTGTGATGCAGTGTTACATCTGTGAAATATTTTAGTGCATCAATCTTGAGGATATGGCTGAACATGACAAACTTGTTGGGTTTTTTTAAAAGGAAGTTTTTGACTACCATTCTATCCAGCTCTTCATTTCCCTCATCCCAAATGTCCTATGGGATTAGACTGAACTTAGAAGATGGAAGGGGTGCCTCTAGCAGTCCACTGCTCACCCGTATACAGTTTAAATTTTCTTATAAAAAAGAAATGTTTAAACCTGAAGGTTGTGAAGAAAAACTTAATGTAAATCAGGTGTTTTCTCCTTCAGTCTGCAGAAGGACTGTCCACGACAATAGCTTTGAGAGATGTTACTGCCCATAGACATAACTGTTCCATGACATAAAAGCCCTTAAGTCATCTGATGACCAGAGTTGCAGCATAGAAGTTTGCAAAGAATATTTGTTGTATCATTTAGTCCTATGGTTCTCAACCAATTTTTTTGTACCAGGTCTCATTTGTAAACAGGAGTTTGTGTGTGGGGATAATGAGGTATCCTAAGCAGCCCCTTGCAGGCAGGAACTCTGCCAGCCTGCAAGGGAAAAGTCACAGCTTCCTACATTTTTTCTCCTTTAAAGGAAAATCCATTTTTAAAGTTTGTTGATCCATTTTTAAAGTTTCTTCATGACCCTGTGATATATTTTTGTGACCCACTTTTGGGTTGTGACCCACAGGTTGAGAAATGCTGATCTAGTCCTAGGGTGCATTGCTCCATCTCATGTAAACTTCTCTGGAAAAGAACATAAGGAAACCCCTACCCCAGCACAGATCTGAGCCTCAGGTTCATTCTCCCTACCCAGCAGCATGAAGAATGGGAGAAATTCCCTCCCACCTCCAAACAACAATGTGAGCAAAGAGCAGGTGAGCAGGGATACCCCTGCCCTGGTGGAGCACAGCCTGGGATTTCCTTGACTTCCCTCCACATGTGCAGTGAGCGGGAGACACCCTACCTGGGTGTTACCATAGCCTGGGGTCTCCAGAGCAGCAGCAAGCATGGTGGGGGTGGGGAGAGGAGGTGGGATTTTTCCACCCCTGCCTATGGTTGCTGCTGCCCAGGAGACCCCAGGTTACATCTGGCTGGACAGGGTGTCCTCCCATCCCTTCATGTGTGGTGGAAAGTGTGTGTGTGTTGAGGATATCCCTACCACCCCAGTTTGCTGCTGTCTGGGAGATCCTGGGGGGTCTTGGAGAATGACTCCTTAGTAGACGCATCAAATTTCTTCATTGGTGCTGTTGACCACAGAGAGCTTTCCCAGCTGGTCAGCAGGAGTGGCACAAGCTGTTATGCTTTTTTTCCTTCTCCTGACATCCTGCCCTATGCAAGTGTAGTCATGCATATCACGTAATGTCTTTATCATGGAAGAAAAGCTATGCTGCAATTGGAACAATGTCTTAATCTACCCTTAGGTTCTGGGAATCAGTCTGGAAGGGAGTGAGATGTTTGGTTACACCTGCATGAAAGGTTCATTTTACATATATTGTATATAGCTTATGCCTCCCTAACCTCCTTTCACCCTAGGTAAACTTCATTGGGAAAACTGAACTGGGGTCTGTTGTGAGCTGTGGGCCAGACGTTCATCTATTTTGCTACTCACTACAATAGAAGCAGCATCAAACGCTCTTTAAAGCCAAATACTTAGAGGTGTAGAGTACCCATAAATCCCATTACCCAAAGAATATCATGGGTGCTCAGAGTCAGCACTTTAATTCTGCTCTAGACCCTGTAGCTGTCATCTTTGTTGCACAACAATGTCTGAATTTAAGTACAAGTTGGAAATTAAAATAATGGTTTAATCAATATATTTGCTGTTGCAGATTGACCAACTGAAACAGGAACTTTCAAAGAAAGAATCAGAACTTCTTGCCTTACAAACTAAGCTTGAAACCCTTAGCAATCAGAATTCAGATTGCAAGCAACACATTGAAGTGCTTAAAGAGTCGCTTACTGCCAAAGAACAGAGAGCTGCCATACTTCAGACGGAGGTAAAGTATTTTTGCATCATAGAATTCAATATAAATGTTTAGTTAATGGAGTGTGTCAGGGTTAAAATGATGTATATGCAGATGATACATCCAAGTCTTTGTTCACTTTGTTAAAAAACAGTGAAATAGCTTAAACCCCTGCCATGTGCTAATACATTCAACATATTTTCCATTTTAGAGTGCGCCAAAATGTATCCTGTAGTTCTTGAAAAACACCTAGGGATGCATTTTTAAAGGTATTTAGGTGCCTAATTTCCATTGATTTCAGTGGGAAATAGGCAGTAAATAGTTTTGAGGTTCTGGGCTCTACTCACTTCATTTGTAGTCATGCCTGTGTTAGGGTATCAGGATTAGAATCAAGTATAGAATTCACAGCATCAAATGTATGCCTCGGTAGCTCAGATTTTCCTTTCCTTCAGTGCATTATTATATATGGTAATTCTTATTTTTTATTAATATTTTCACTCCTAATTTCAAGTCTTCCTTCGCTAGTTTGCTGAATCTTTATTCTGTTTGTTCAGACCCAGTGCTCATTCATGTACTTCATATTAGATTTTAAATGCATACAGTGAAATCTACTACTTTATTTACTCAAATACAATATGAGTTTTTTTCCCCCCATTAGCCTGGGAGGAAAAGCCCTTCACCTTACATTCATATACAAGGAAACTGCATTAAATATATTGTCTATCTTTGAACTGCTGCTAAAAGCAGAATGTGATCAGTAATGGAAACCAAATATGAAGTTGATTAATGTAGCCAGCACTGACCATGGCTGTTAAGTTGCCCATATTGGGCAAACAGGCTGATAGGAACCTACCACAAGGGTTTGTTAGTGCAGCCTACCGGAATAAGATATATGGTAGTGCCCATTGTGCTAAAGGGGTCTGCGCTCTGGCTCATTTTCAAATCATGGTTAATCCACTACATTGCATACATTTTGACTTCCTCTTCACTCCCGCAGCAGAGCTGCACCTTTCTTTCTCATTTCCAATGATTTCTTCACCAGCCTTAAATTCCTGGCAAACATCACCAAATGGGGCCCAAACAGTTCACCCAGAATCCCTCTGCCCCCTCTCTTAGCCTGGCAGATATGCTTAGTGTGGCCCCACCCTCCATGAGATGGAGCCAGACCAGGTTTCATAGTTTCTAGGGTCGGAGGGGACCTGAGCAGAT